CTGGGGTACCGGGGGTGGGAGACGAGGGCCTGGGACAACCGGGAGGCCTACCCTGGGGTGGGGACGGGGAGCATCAGGGACTTGGGTCCAACAGCCACGTGACACCCGTGTCCTCCCCCAGGAAACACAGTGCTGCACATCCTCGTCCTCCAGCCCAACAAAACCTTTGCCTGCCAGATGTACAACCTGCTGCTGTCCTACGACGGGCGTGGGGACCGCCGGCAGGCCCTGGACCTGCTGCCCAACCACCAGGGCCTCACCCCCTTCAAGCTGGCCGGAGTGGAGGGCAACACTGTGGTGAGGGACACCTCCCCCCTGTGGTGAGGGACACCTCCCCCCAACTCCACGGTGTCCTAACGACCCTCATCCTATACCTTAGCCCTTTGAGGAAACAGATGTGAACACTCATCCCATTTTCAGATTAGAATTTCTTTTTCAGCCCGTCTCTCGTCCCCCGTCTTGCCCACTTTCTCTCCCCTGAGGTGTTGGGGGCTAATGGCGTCTAGGTTTCTCCCTGGGGTGGTTTGTAACGGCCACGTCCACCTACCCTTCCAGTCCACAGAAGAGCAGCTCTCCAGCCTCTCACCTCCTCTTTCCAAGCTCTGGAGGGAGTTATGGGGGACAGAGAGGAACACAGGGGACAGCATGTACAGGGGTCTTCTGCCCACAGGCTGGCTTTTCAGGGTCGCCGTCCTCCTAGACACACTGGTGCTCTGTGACCCCTCCCTTCACTTGCCCCCCCTGACTCAGCTCCCCCTCCCTCAGATGTTCCAGCACCTGATGCAGAAGTGGAAGCACAGCCAGGGGACATTCGGGCTGGTGACCTACACCCTCTACGACCTCACGGAGATCGACTCCTCAGGGGATGAGCCGTCGCTGCTGGAACTTATTGTCACCACCAAGAAGCGGGAGGTACGGGGATCTTCAGGTCAGAGAGCGACTGAGCAGGCATGTCAGGGTTTCTGAGCCACTTGTCCTGTTCTCCGCTGGCCGCAGGCTCGCCAGATCCTGGACCAGACGCCCGTGAAGGAGCTGGTGAGCCTCAAGTGGAAGAGATATGGGCGGCCCTACTTCTGCCTGCTGGGCGCCTTGTACGTGCTCTATATCATCTGCTTCACCATGTGCTGCGTCTACCGCCCGCTCAAGCCCAGGACGGATAACCGCACTCAGCCCCGGGACAACACCCTGTTGGAGCAGAAGCTACTTCAGGTGACACCCCAGGAGCAGCAGAGCTTTGGGGGCAGGGCCAGCTCTCTGTCCTTTGTCAGACTTGTATCACTTTCCTGTCCTACAACCCCCATCTCTCCCCTCTCCCAGGTCTCAAAAACATAGGCACAAACTCAAAATCCATGCCCACAGAAACACGTGTGCACTCAAAGGGCAGAGGTTGAGATGGCCAAACCCAGCGGGTTAAAAACAAGGGACAGTGCTTTCCATCGAGGGGCAGGTGGGGCAGATGCATGGGCGCCCTGAGTGCTGACCACGTCTTTTCCCCCAGGAGGCCTACATGACCAGCCAGGATGGCGTCCGGCTGGTGGGGGAACTGGTGACTATCATTGGTGCTGTGATCATCCTCATCTTGGAGGTGTGGTGGGGACAGGGTCTGGGGTGGGGCTGTCTGCCCCAAGGGCCCAGCCTGAGTCCCAGCTACAAGTGCCTTTGTTCTCTCCAGATCCCAGACATCTTCAGGGTGGGGGTCACTCGCTTCTTTGGACACACCATCCTTGGGGGGCCGTTCCACGTCCTCATGTGAGTCTCCTTCCTCTTGCCCCCATCCTGTCCCTCACTAGGGCTCTGGTCCCCTGAAGAACCTTAACCCCAGAGGTTCATTTCCTGTGAAGTGTGTGTGTGACCCTGTGTACTGAGCTTGCGAAGGCTGAATCGGACGGTGTGGGTCCTAGCTCAGTCACACGCTTGGTCTTGGGTCCCCAAGGAAGATCCCAGGCCCACGCTCACCACGCCCCTTTCTGCTCTCCCCGCAGCATCACCTATGCCTTCATGGTGCTGGTGACCATGGTGATGCGGCTCACCAACACCACCGGGGAGGTGGTGCCCATGTCCTTCGCCCTGGTGCTGGGCTGGTGCAATGTCATGTACTTCGCCCGAGGATTCCAGATGCTGGGCCCCTTCACCATCATGATCCAGAAGGTGTGTGCCTTGCCCCACGCTTCCCAGAGAAAGGTCCTAGAGAAGGGGCTGCGCGCATCTGCCAAGGGCCTGAGCATAGGGATCTCAGGTTTTGTGAGCCACACATGGTCTCCATTGCATATTCTTCTTTCCCTCCTCCTTTTCTTTCTTTCTTTTTTTAATCCTTTAAAAATGTAAAACCGTTCTCAGTTCAAGGGCCATACCAAAATAGACCATAGTTTGCCAACCTTGTCCTAGAGGGTGGAGCTGTGAGTTCTCAGGGTTAGACCCGCTAAGAGGCTTGAAGGGGCAGTGGCTCAAGTGACAGGTGTGATGTTCTCCCTCCCCTCTCCCCCCCTTCTAGATGATTTTTGGCGACCTGCTGCGATTCTGCTGGCTGATGGCTGTGGTCATCCTGGGCTTCACCTCAGGTAAATCATCCATTCAGGATGGGGGCCGTGGGAGGGGGAGGCTGGAGACTACAGGGCACAGAATGGCTCAGATAAGCTTGGGGGCAGGCAGGAGGGAAGGGAAAACTGGGAGCATGAGGGAGAAGTGGCTCCTGAGATCAGGAGGATGAGCCGTATAGAAAACAAGGCAACATAAGACACCAAAGTGTTGAGCGACGAAGGGCTGGGATGGTGCCATCGGAGGTGAGGGAAACCGGCAGAGGAGAGCTGGCTTGGTTCAGACATGTCCATGGTTACCCTCAACCTGGTAACTCTCACCCTCTTGGGTGGAGCAGCCTTCTATATCATCTTCCAGACGGAGAACCCCGATAAGCTGGGCCATTTCTACAACTACCCCATGGCACTGTTCAGCACCTTTGAGATGTTCCTCACCATCATCGATGGCCCCGCCAACTATGACGTGGACCTGCCCTTCATGTACAGCATCACCTATGCTGCCTTCGCCATCATCGCCACGCTGCTCATGCTCAACCTCCTTATAGCCATGATGGGCGACACTCACTGGCGGGTGGCCCATGAGAGGGATGAACTCTGGAGGGCTCAGGTGAGCCCCCTGGTGGCTGGGAGGGTTAGTGCTGAGGACATGGAATAATGCAAAGTGTGCAGGCGAACTGGATTAGCAATACCACCCAGCAATACTGGAATAGCTGAAAAGAATTCCTCGCGGTTTGCTCAAAAATTAAAACCTTAGTCTTTTCTAGAAGAATCAAGAAGAAATAAATCAAGAAATAAGGCTAAGAGGTGTGAAAGCAGCATTCAGTAAATTTTGTTTCTGAATTTAAAAGCCGGAGTATCACATCTTTTTGGCAATATTTAAGTCTTCAAAATTGGGCCCAGAAAAATTAGACATGTTAAAAATAATGCCACAAAAACTCCCTATAGTAGCAGAAACTATGTTCAGCCAGAGCATCATGATGGGGACAAAAGACCATTAAATGAATCAAATCATCATTTAAAAATATACATAGAAAATAATTTATCTCAACAAAATAACTTCAGCAAAATAAAAATGGAACTCCCCCAAATTGGATGGCACTTAACGGTGCTTTGTAGAAAATGGAGTTTAAAAAACCTAAACTAGCTAAATGGGGTTTTCTCAGGAAAACATTTTTCCATGCAAATGTACTATTAGATTTCTCCGTAGGATGCTTGCATTTATAAATGGTCTGGCTGTCTGTAGGGTCGAAATATCCTGTAGCCCTGAAGACCTCTCTTCTGTTTGCTTTGCTCACCTTCCTGTCCTCCTTGGAGTGAGGTCACTCAGCCTCTTGCATGGCCACCCTGGCATGAGCATGGGTGTTGTGGTCACTGGGCGAAGAACTGTGGGGTTCAGTGCCATTGACTCTCCCACAGAAGAGGGTCGACAAAGCTGCCACCACCATCGTCAGCTTAGGGGTGCAGTTTGTCACCTCTGGGAAATCATGAGCTCCTGCCTCTCCTAGCTGTTGCTTCAACTGTTATCCCTCTGCCCGGCACCGTCTCTTCTCCCTGCCCTTCCTCTCAGTCTGCACCCAGCCTTGTCTCTGACTTCCCTTTCTGTCCCCACACACAGGTCGTGGCCACCACGGTGATGCTGGAGCGGAAGCTGCCTCGCTGCCTGTGGCCTCGCTCCGGGATCTTCGGGCGAGACTACGGGCTGGGGGACCACTGGTTCCTGCGGTGAGTGACAGTGCAGGGCTGGGCAGCCTCTGCTCAGGCAACCTCCTGCTCCCAGGGGCCACCCCAGCAGCAGAGGAGGAAAAGGCCCGTTGTGCTGGGGATGGGTGCGGACAGGAGACAGGCGAAGTTGGGCATCAGTCCCCTGGCCTTGGGTACCTCTCAAGTCCTCTGCTCTCCACAGGGTGGAAGACAAACAGGACGTCAACCAGGAGCGAGCCCGGCGCTACGTACAGGCTTTCCACAAACGGGGCTGGGACAACGCAGACAAAGACTCAGACAGAGACTCTGAAAAACTGCAGCCACGCTGCCCCTCCGGCCCCAACCCGTCCCTCCCTACGCCCTCAGTGTCACAAAGCATGTCCCGCAGCAACACCCACTGGGGAAAACTTCGGCAAGGGACCCTGAAGACAGAACTGAGGGGGGTGGTGAACAAGGGTCTGGAAGAGGAGGGCTGGGAATATCAGATCTGAGCCTGTGCTCTGGCTTCGGTTCCCAGCAGTTGCTCTCATTTTCCTGGGAATGTTACAAAAAAGGAAACCAAACATACCTAGAGATCTAACCCTCCCAGGTCAAGCTGGGGAGGAGGAGAAGAGTTGGGAAGACCTGTGCCCCAGGTCTCCTCTACTCCTTCAGCTTCCGAGTGGAGGGAAAACCAAGGGGGTGGCCGGCGCCCCCTCTTTGGCTCTAATGAAGGCTCGCTGCACTGTCTGAGCAAAGCACTTTAAGGGCAGGCATCAGTCTGTACCCCAGTGTCAGAGCAGGAAGCGGGAGAGCCCTGCCCAGGGGCTCCCGAGAGTTGTGGGGGAGGCTTGTGGAGGACGTGTGTGAATGAGGGGACAGGTACCGCTCCGGGCGTGGGGAGAAGCTGGTGGAGTCTTGTCACCTTCTACCTTCCAATAAACTTGTTCCCTGCTCTGCGGTGTCACCTTCCCCAGCCTTTCCTTGCAGACTGAGGCCTCACCACACCTCCAACTTGCAAAATCCCTTCTTTCCCTTTAATATGGAGAGCGAGGGAGGGCAGGAAAGGGGCAGCGGGCAGGGGGAGGAAACCTCCAGAGGGTTGCTGCTGAGTGTTCAGGGCACGAGAGGCCACGATGGAGGCTGGCTCCTGTCGCCCACGTCCCTCCCGGGACCTGTGTCCGGGGCTGGGTCCTGAGCATCTTCCGTTCCCAGCTTCCTGCCAGGGCCTCAGACCTCCACTGAGCCTGGCTGCCTCAGGTGCCGCTGAAGGAGCTGGATGTTGTGCAGTAGCTTCTTCTGGTGGCCCGCAAGGGTGATGCCGAGGGCAGGCAGGTCTCTGGTGGGGAAGGAGTGGATTAAAGCTGGGCCGCCTTCGCCAGCATCCCCGGGCGCCCCGGCCCCCCTCTCCCTGCTTACTCCAGGCTGAGCTGAGCCACGTCACTGAAGGTGCAGAGGCCACACCGGGAGAAGTTGTCCTGGTAGCACTCCAGTCCAATGGCCGAAAGCCAGGCCCCAGGTGAGTCCAGAGAAGGGAAGTCCAGGGCCACAGGGTTCAGAAGGGCCTGCAACGGTCTAAGGGCAGGAGAAGCAGGCCGGTCAAAGTCCCCTCTTCCTCCTGGCCCCCACTTGCACCTCAGTTTTCTTCTTGGTTTGCATCGACCTCCCTGGCTTTCCCAGGCTCCAGCCCCAAGCTCCAGACCTGTCCTCGGGGCTCCCGCCGGCCTGCAGAGTGTCTGGCTTGCGGATCATCTTGTCAAACGCAGCCACCAGCTGGTCGAAGTGCGGCCGCTGGATACGGTCCTTCTGCCAGGTGTCCAGCATAAGCAGATGGAGTCCGGGAGGACAGCCTGGAGGCGGGGGCAGCCGGAAGTCCTGCTCTATTGCATTGAGCACCTGGGGGTTGGAGGAAGAATACGGTGAGGGGAAGCTATTGCAAGTGGAAAGGAGTCTATTGTTAGGTAAGAGGGTGGGCTGGGATCGGGGGGAGCAGGAGGTTCCAGTGGGGAAGCTTAAAAATACAGAAAACGACAGCCAGGAGATCTTAGGGTGGGAATGGATTAGTGAATGGAGGTCTTAGAATGTGCGAGTCTGTGGGGCTGGTGGGTCGGAGGGATCGGGGGGTGGGGAAATCAGCAATGTCTAGGTCAAGAGCTCACCTCCTGGTCACTCATGTCCCAATAGGGCCGTTCTCCATAACTCATCACTTCCCACATCACTATCCCAAAGCTCCAGACGTCACTGGATGTCGTATGCTTTCCGTGGGCAATGACCTCTGGGGCTGCCCAGCGTAGCATACAACCTGGGCCCTGAGAGGCAGGGGTTAGAAGTAACAACAGCGAGAACCCCAGCAACAGTCACATTTACTGAGCAACTACTTTGCGCTCAGACGTGAGTCAAGGGTTTCACGTCAAGCATCTATCTTAACCCTCATAACAACCCTGCAGGGTAGATGATATTGTCTCCATTGTACAGATGCAGAAGCTGAGGCATAGGGCAAAGTCAGAGCTTAGGGTGGCACGCTCGGGATTTGTATCCAGCTGCTCTGACTAGAATCTGTGGTCATTGGGGGAATGGCAGGAGGTGGTTCTAGGTTTTGGGGGTCTCCTGCCATCCCCAGTGGCACGGTTCCTGAATTCCTTCAATGTCCCCCTGGCTCCTATGCTGGATGAAGCACAGGTGAGCTCCAGGCCTTCCAACACAATGACAGGCCACCTCAGGTCCCCACCCCCGTTTCCGGCTCATCTCCCAGCACCAGATAAAGGATGCGGAGCCCCCGGGGTTGTGCTCTCACCTGAGGGCTGTGGCCAAGACGGGCCACTTTGCACACCAGGTGGCTGTTCACCAGCACACTGTGGGCAGACAGTGCACGGTGGACGAAGGCGAAGCTGGACAGGTACTGCATGGCCGCGGCCACTCCCCGCTGCATGGCCACCAGCTGCAGGCTGCTGAACTGGCCCTCCCGCTGCTGTGGGGCAGGGGTCAGAGGTCAGCAACGGGGTGGGGAACCTGGATGCAGACATCAGCATGAGAGGGCAAGGGGAGCTGGGACTCAGAAAATGGCCTGGGAACGACGGCTGAAGACCACCGCAGGTGGGCGCGAGGGGGAAAGGTATAGGGCTCTGCCTCCGGAACACCTGAGAACCCGAACGTCCCCAAGGTGGCACTGACCCTGAGGAAGCTGTCCAGGGGGCCCAGCTCCATGAGCTCCGTCAGCACCATGAGGGGTCGGCTCTTGGTGACCACGCCTTCCAGCCGCAGGATATTGGGGTGCTGGAACTGGCCCAGCAATGCAGCCTGGCCTAGGAAGGTCATCTGCAGGCTCTCGGCACCTCCGGTCCACAGGGCCTGGATGGCCACAGCTTGCTCCCGCCGTCCCCGGGGCTGCAGCCGGCCCCTGCACACTTCTCCAAAAGAGCCTGGGGGGGCAGGCACAGGCTGGGGGTGGGTGGTGGTCAAGGAAGGGCCGTGGGCTCACAGTGTCCTGCCGCCTTTACAAGAAATGCTGCTCAGCCGTCCCTTTGCCCCGACAATACCTGCCCCAATGACCTCCTCGATCTTGATATAAGCAGGGTCTACCTCCCGGGCCAATTCTCGGATGGCCTGGCAGGGGTCCTCGTATGTGGATGGGTCGATGTAATACTTCACCCCAAGCCCTGCAGGTGTATGGCGTGCATTAGGAGGCTGTGGTGCAAGGCTGGACTGCCCACAAACCACAGGCATGTCCTCTTACTTGCAAAGATGGTGCCAAGGAGCTCCCCCCAATCTTGGGGGAACCCAGCCTTGCCTGGTGTGCTCCTGGCCCGAGCCCCCAGCTTTTGTCTGTGCACCCTCCACCCCCACCCCCACCCGCCTCACCTGGGCTGCTGTACTGTTGCAGTTGCTCCGTGTAGCCTGTCCTACGCCGCTTCCTGAGAAATAAACCAGTGCCCGGGAATGACACTTCCATTTCCTCCCACTTCTGCCCCCGACGCAGGCTGCTGTCTAGCCAGGGATCTGTGCCGTGAGGGATACGGGGTCCAGGTCCCTCCTCCCCACCTCCACATGGGCTGGGTGGTGGGGGCTTGTGCAGCGGCCTGGAGGTCATGAGACAGAGTGAGAGGGGTGGGGACATGGCGGGAAGGGGCTCACCTCTGGAAGACAACAGCCAGCACGGTGATGGCTGCCAGCAGGAGGAAGGCCAAGGCCCCCAGGATGGACCCAATCACCAAGGAGAGGCGCTCCGGAAGCTGGGCAGACAGCTCACCTGAGGAACCAGCCGCCCAGGGCCACAGGTGGGCAAGGCCTCGCATAAGCACGCACCCACCCACCCACAGACCCAACAGTCAGGGCTCAGCCACCAGCTCCCTGCGCACAGTCTCTGGTCTGGAGGGTTCTGAGAGAGGGTGCAAGGCCTGGGAGGCCCCTGGGCCTCTCCTCCTCCAGTGTCTCCCCCTCCATCCAGGCTTCCTCTCACCTTGAGGCAGCGTCTGGAAATAGACCTTGCCCCCGTAGGGGCCGTGGCCTGAGGCAGTCCTCGCCCGCACCTGGAAGCCATAGATGTGGCCGGGGCTCAGCTGTGTCACAGTGGCCGTGTTGGTCTCGCTGGTCAGGGTGAAGGAGTGGGATTCGTCTTCGGCCTGGGGGTGACAGCCACTCACTCCCTGCCGGCAGGCCCCAGCCCTTCACCTTTGCCCCTGCGCCTCAGGCTTCCGGGACCTCCCGCCTTCCCCAGGGCTGCTGCGCACCTGTCCCGATCCCACCACCTCTAGCCCCGCTGTAGGGCACTGCAAGCTCCCCCCAGCACCCCCCACCTGGTCATAGTAGCGCAGCTGATAGTCCAGGATGTTCCCGTTGGTCTGATCTGGCTGCGGCCAGGACACCGTGATGCTGTTCGGTGCCCTGCTCACCTGGTGCACCGCAGGGACTGCAGAGGGAACTGGGGTAGGGAATTAGTAAGGGGGTTTCCGGGGACCAGGAGGCAGGAGTGGGGGAGAGGTCCTAAGGAGGCGATGTAAGGCCTGAGGTGGAGGAAAACGCTCACCGGCATGGCTGGTGCTGACATTAATGGCTGCAGCCTGCGGAGGATCGGGGCTGAGTTCTGACACCCCGTTGACGGCCTGCACCTCCAAGATGTAGGGTACGTGTGCCCGGAGCCCTCCGACTAACACTCGGCTCTCAGTCAGGCCCCTCTGGCGGGGGTCGAAGTGCACCTCGTCCCTGCAGCGGCGGCAAGCGCCCCCGCTCCCGGGCTCCTGGGGGCTTCCGCACTCCTTGCACACGACGTTGAAGAGCAGGTCCCCTCGGCCCCCCAGCTCCTGGGGCAGGCGCCAGTGCAGCATGAGCGCTGAGCCTTGCACCTCAAACCAAAGCTCCCGGGGAGCCGAAGGCGGGCCTGGGAAGGCGGGGCGGGCGCGGCGGGGAAGGGCCAAGAAGGAGGGCGTTAATAGGGTGGGAGTGATTGAGGCAGGGAGGAGGCAGAGGAGGAGACAGAAAGAAAGGGGTGGGGCCAGAAAGCCGAGGCGGGGAGGAGGAGGCAGGTGGGCCAGGGAGACGGGAATGCAGCGCAGATGGGGGAGAACACCGAGAACACGGGAGAAAGAGAAGCCACCACCGATGCAAACCAGCCCCACCATGTGCCCTCAGGACCCTCACCTTCTGGCCCCACCCCCAGCCTTGTTTCTACCTCTGGAGCAGGTGGGAGGACTCACCAGTGCAGGGGGCCTCTGGAGGGTCGGAGCTGGCCCGGTAGAAGCCCCCGAGGCAGGAGCAAACGGGGGCCGCAGGGTCAGAGGCGTGGCTGCGGGCGGGGCACGGTGAGCAGGGGGCATTCCCGGACAAGGCTTTGTAGGACCCCTCAGGGCAGGCTGAGGGGCAGAGTGGGGGCTTAGCTCGCTTCCCCGGACCCTCTGCGGAGCCCCACACACCTGACAAAGGGCGCGTTTCTCCTTTCTTCCCGAGATGGAACCCTCACCCCTCTCTCCCTCTTCCCCTCCCTCAGGCAGAGATTGGTCTGCCATTTCTCTGGGGGTGGAATTGCATTTCCACTGATGGAAAAAGCGAGGTGGGCGGGGGATACGGGCAGGCCAAGCGCCGGATGTAGGTGTCTGTAGGCTTGATTGCATAACCTGCCAATGCAGAGGCCTCCTGCGGCCCCACCTGCAGCAGAATCGGTCTCCTGAGTCTAAAGCCGGGACCCACACTGCGTTCTACCTGCACCTGGTCTCACCTGCCCCGGGATGACCTCACCCCAAATACAGGGCAAGTGCGGACAAAGGACCAAATCCCAAGCTAACCCAGGCGTTCAGCTCCCCTTGCTCTCCATCACGTCTCATGCCTGCAGCCCTAAGAGCTTCAGCAATGGCTGTGGAAGTCTCCAGAAGGTTTTGGAAATTTTAGAGTGGATGAGAGCAAGTTTGCGTGCTTTAGGAAATAAATCTGGAGAAAAACAGGAGTTCATTCCTAAAATAGCTTATTCCTGACCTTTTGGGGACAAAAAAAATGAAGCTACCCTGGGGTGTTCAGGAAAGGGGCCCAAAGGTCGAGGCAGGTGGGAAGGTCCTGCGCAAGCGCAAGGGGACGGGATCTCACCTTGGCAGGCCTTGTCTCCACGCGCAGGCTGGTGCCCGGGCTGGCAGCGGCAGCCCCCGACAGCTACCATCCACTTGCCTTCCCCATTGCAGTGCAGCCTGGGGGGGCTGCTGCCTGCCTGGCCCCCACCGCCATCGTCCTCTGGCTCTGCATGAGCCACACAGGTGCCCACGGCGGCCACCAGGGAGGCCCCACCGGCCCCACTGGCCTGTGTCTCAGGGAAGGAGGCGAAAGTGCGGAGCACGGAGGGGCAGGCATGGGAGAAGAGCTTGACGGCCACGAGAGCCAAGCAGGCCCCAGTATCCTGGAAGGCCACGTAGAAGCCACGCTGGGTCAGGGGGCCGAAGCTTCGCTCTTTGACGTTCAGCTGCAGCCCAGCCCGAGGCCCGGTCCCCCCGTGGGGTCCCACCGCCCAGGCCGAGGCGGCAGGGAAGCTCTCATCTGCTGCAATGGTGTCCACCTTGGTCCAGCGTTTGAGGTGCCAGGCTGAAACACTGTCGGGGCCGTCGGGTTCCTCAGCTTGCCGGTAGTAAAGTGTGAAGGTCTCACGGCAGGTGCCGCCTGCCACACCCAGGCTGGAGCACGCCCGCACGGAGAAGTGGAGTCGGATGTGTGCCCTCTGGGCACCTCGCCGCTCCACAAAGTGTGTCTGCAGCCAGTTGTCCTGCCCGGTGCCTGGCGGGGCCCCTGCCACGTGGCAGGCCTCGAAGGTCCGAGTCAGGCGTCGCTGGTCGTCCAGGACGCTCACTTCATCCCACTGCAGGGAGGGGAGGGCGGGGAGACCATGTTAGCTGCCCAGGGCTTGGAGGGTGCAGGAAGTTGGGGGCGGGGGATATCTCTTCCACTGAGATTTAAAGGTAATGACATGCAAAGCAGAGTGATGATACCCCAAAGTCCTGTTCCTCTGGAGGAAGGAGTGTTATTCCAGTAGCCCCTACCCAGGGTTTCCTTCTACACGCTAGGGAGCAGGGTGAGGGAGAGGGTGATGGGTTCAGAATGCAAGAGCGACACTCACCCCGCCTGGTGGGAAGGTGAGCCAGCCAATCTCAGATGTCTCTCCAGCGGTGTCCAGCAATACCTCTGCCCGGGGATAAGAAGGGGCATGCAGGGGCCAAGGCTCCCTCCAGCTCTGCTAACTCCCAACCCATGCCCAGGAGGAAAAAAAGAATTTCCCTCCCTGGTCCATTTAATTCAGCAGCGGGAGGACAGCTGTCCACGGAGAGCCTTTCTCTGAAAGCGTCCCCACTCCTTTCCCCCGTTTGATGTCTTCCCTCTTTTCTGCCTTTTCTGAATCGCTCCCATCTCCTATCCATGCTGGGTCTCTACTGGTAGGTGGCGGTTCTCCGGTGCCCCCACCCTCTTACCTTCCAGTGCCAGAACGGAGGACACCAGGACCAGCACCCAGAGACTGCACACCATGCCCGCCACTCCGCTCCCTGACCGGGCAGCACCCTCAGCAGCCATGGGGCATCTTCGGGGCTCCCACCATCGCTCTGGCCACCACCCTGCTCCCAGGCAGGGCGGCTACTTCACAAGACTGGGGCCGGCACAAAGCTTGCTTCCTAGGGAGACAGAGGACCAGAAGACACCGGTGGGAGGTAAACGCATTGCTTCATAGATGGCCCAGGCTCCAAAACCTGACCCTGTGTCTCCTGATAGAGCTCTCAAATTGTCCCAGCATCAACCATAGGGTGACAGCCAGCAGGGACCTGACTCTCTCCTGACCTGTACCAAGTCCACCATCTTGGAAGGCCATATTGCTGGGTCACTCCCTCCCTACATTTGTTCCTCATGACCCTTCCTTTAGAGCACAGGGGAGTTAGTTCTGGGCCCATCTCACCCTTTTCTTCTGGAAGGAGCTATTCTAATTCTTTCTCTTCATTGACTCACTTCTCTTCCTCCTACAGCCACCCTGTATTGGAAGTCGGGAGATTCTTCTCAAAGTAAGTGGGTTAAAAGCTACTACTTTCCTGGGGGCACACGATCCACCCTCCCCAACACCCCTGGATACTCTAGACATTTCAGAGAGGCAGTGAAGCGTGAGGGCCTGCGGAAGGAGAGCTGTGGGTTACCATGAAACTGATGATGCAAAGAGAGCACAGGCGTAAAGATTCCATCTGAGAGAGAGTCAGTATCGAGAAGGGAGAGAGCTCTGTGGGTCTGGCCTGCCTACATTTCATTAACAAAGGTCCTCTCTCCACAAGGGACACATCCCCCCCCCCCAGGGCTTACAGAAAAACAAATGCATGGCTTAAATACATGCAAAGATGCTCCTAGATTGCTCACCAGGAAAGGAAGTCACGTTGCAACAACAGTGACATGCTATTTTGTCCTCTGAGATTAATAATGCAGTGGGTTGGAGATGGTGTGGAAAAATAGGCTCTCTTACATTCGCTGGGCTTACAAGTTCAAAATGGAATATCCTCTTGGAAGGACAACTGGTGACGTCTGTCTAGCAGCTTCACTTCGAAGAATCTGTCCTTCGGGTAGCGTATCCTTGCATCTGTTTGCACAGATGTTCAAACAAGGATATCCACTGCAATATTGTTTATAAAGAAAAAGACTGTAAAGTAACTATTCATCTTTAGTTAGAAGATAGTTTACAGGGAAGTAGAATACAGCATAGGGAATATAGTCAATAATATTATAATAGCTATGCATGGCGTCAGATGGGTACTGGACTTATGGGGCCAGTATGTTGTACACCTGGGGCGAATATGATATTGCATGTCAACTGTAATTGAAAAAATTTTTTAAATTATAAAAAAAATTATGGCGCCACCTTCAAAAGGAACAGGGCTACTGTTTACGCACTGATATGAAAATAATTTCCAAGTGAAAGTCCGGTGCAGAACAGTATAAAGCACGTTCCCGACTGGTAATTTAAGGACATACATATCTGGGACAGGACGGGAGCTGGTGCGAGGGAGACTCTCTCTTACTGTATTCCCTTTAATTTTTGCATTTTAAAAACCTAGCATATTTAATTGAAACCTCTTTTCAATTAAATCACTTATTGATTAAAAATTGCTTTAACTCTGTAGGTAATTAATTGGTTAGTAAAAATGAGTCGACGTACTATTCATGCTCCCAGAATGATTTCTCCAACTATGTAACAAGCTACCCTTTTCTATCAAACGCCCCCAAGCCTTTAGACGAACACACTGCAGGCCCCAAGCACGTGACTGGGAGGCATGGCGACCTCAGGGTCACAGGGACAACAAACAGGCTCAGGCCTCCTTTTGCTCCTTGGTCTAGAGATTAGTGGTGACCTATCTCTTTCCTGGTGACTGAGTCTCAAAAGTCCGTGAGCTGCATGGTTAAGAGCAAGGGATTGCATTTATTTCTGTGGAGAAGAAAATAGGAGGCACGTTGCTCAAAAGGCACAGGACCGAGAGTAAAAAAGAAAAAAAGAGAAAAAGAAAGCAAGCCAGCTGAAAGTTGGAACCCGTTTCCTTCTGGATATTTGTGGTTTTGTGATCCATCGCTGAAAACGACATGTTTCACAGTGAAGCTAAAATCAATCTATTACACTATATTTAACTTTGATGAATATGAAAATCATGATCTAATTTCTACTAATCTATTTTTTTCCCCCCTGGTAATGCTGGCTATGCTGTAAGATGATGCCTTCAGTGTTATCTCCACGTGGTTATCATGAAAAGGTACCGTTTCTACATCTGTATGGGCTGATGTGTGGTGGGTATCTGCCTACTAGCTGCTGAAATTTACCTTTCATGCTTCTATAGAACCCTATGTGTGAAATAGAGAGAGTTCAACTTAGGGCATATGGAGGCAAGAAAAAACATTTCCAGATCATCACACTGTACACCTTTAAACTCACGCAATGCTATATGTCAACTATAGCTCAATAAAGCTGGAGAGGGGAAAAAAAAAAGCATTTCCATAGGGCAAATTATTCCTAAAAAACATAGGTTCTTTGTCAATACTGTCCCAAATGCTACTAGAATTATTCACAGATTCAATACATGCTTCCAAGAAAGACAGGGAGATCATGAAGTGAAAAGCATGGCCCCATCACCAAGGGCTGTTTAATAAATATCCTGATGTAACTCACATTGTAGGCGAACTCCCCAAAGTCTCAATGGCTTAACTTAGAGACATGTCTGACACACCAAAGCTGACCAGATTCTGTCCAGAGCTAGGGTCTTTAGGGACGGTCTTATCAAGAACTGAAATGCCAGCAACAAGTCTTGAAACAATGAAAGCTATTATACCGTTAGCTCAGCAGATATTCCTTAAATAGCCTCTTTCAGTCAGAGCATGGATGGATTCCGGAATAGAAACTATAAGCACAGTGTTTTCCTAAACTGATAACTAGACAAATAATCATGGAGAAGGCATAATAAACATGTTAGATACATCTCATTGACTGTTTTGAAGGGCAGCAAAATATGAGAGAAAAGGCCCACTGCAGATATGATCAGCTGTGCAGCAATGGAACATTCTAGAAGATGAGGATTGGCAAAGCATTTGCTTTGATGACCCATAATACAAGTAACACGGTGGCTTGTGGCTATTATAGGGCGTGCATGCATAGCTTCAGCAGGCATCTTAATGACAACATGAAGCTGGCCTCTCTCCAGAAGTTCCAGAAAAGAGCAAAAGCAATTATGAAAGGTAAAGCCACTCAGCTTCTGTTGTCAAGAGGAATCAGAAAGAAAAGAATAAAATGGAGACCTTGCCTGTGGATTGCCACTTCAGTCATCTTCAAAATTTTTACAAAGAACAAAGATATTCATTAAAAATAAATGGTTGAAGACCATAAAGGACCCAGACGTGTCCTTTTGCTGTTTGATGAGGACATAGTTTAGATTTGGATCCAGAAGACTGAAGGTGATAAACAGGTTCCTTCCGGAAAAAAAAAAAAATTGTGGCTGAGTGAGACGAAGCAGTTAGGTCAGTTCTCACTTATCAAACGAACCAGATAAATTCAGATATATATTTTTTTAATAGATAGAAGACATCTGAGTGTATCTATGGCTAAAATAAAAATATGGTAAGAGGAAAATTTATTAAGTCAGTTCTCACTTATCAAGCAAACCAGATAAATTCAGATCTTTTTTTTTTTTTAATAGATAGAAGACATCTGAGTGTATCTCTATGGCTAAAATAAAAATATGGTAAGAGGAAAATTTATTAATCTATGAAAGAAATTGCTGTCAACTAATTCCTACCACTGCAGATTCTTTTGAGACAAGTTTCACAGGCAGAAATACAAGTGACAAGAACAGGGCTGCTCTATGCACATGCCTGAAATACTAAACGAGCAGGAATTAGAACTTGTTTTCAAAGGTGCCTTCAGTGGCTGAGGACTAGGACATCTTTTGGCATTTGGTCCAGGAGTGCACTCTGAGAGCAACCAAACCCATCCCTAGGGCCACACGGCCACATGGAGGGGAAAGGCCTCTGCAAGGCGGGGTCCCTTGCTCGTCTTTGTCACCTGCTTCAGATCCCTCTGTCTTCTCCAACTCGTGAAAGAAATTGGCAAGTGTTTAGAAACCCTCTAACCCATGAAAGAGCAGAAAACTTATCTTAATCAGGAAAATGTCCCAATTTCAGATGTGTACATGCTTTTAAAATATAAAACACCAGAAGCAGCAGAAATGTGGATGAAAAAAGATAGCTCAGAAAAATGAGACTGAATAGACAAAGTTTCCTATGACAAAAGTTGCATCCTGTGACTTCCCTTTTTTGTTTCTCTTTCTCGGCTCCTTTTCTGGATATATCACTTTATATCTTTTTCATACAGTAGAGACATTTACATTCACAAGCCTGCTACATCTCTTCGGTTTACAAAACTATGACAGTTTCTCAGGCATCAGGATTGTATTTTGTTTTCAGAAACTGGCAAAGATTAAAGATATGTTGAATCTCATCTTATAAATCACAGCTTATGAGTTCAGTTATCTATAAAAATGCAAGGTTTAAAAAGGAGTACATCTGTAAGAATTTTACAAGTTCACTGTGCTCAACTCAAAATGCTAAATATGATAATTTTTATGAACAAACCAAGCTGACTTAATATAGTTTATGCACTTCAATCCACAAAGTGAATTTTTAAAAATTAAGTAATATAAGCCAAATAAGCTGGGAAGGAAATATGGCAGAAGATACATCAGGCCATTCAAATTGGTTACTATAGAAGGAGGTAGACAAGCAGAAAGGAGGGGCGAGGTTATTAACTTTGTCTTACACATATTTAAATTGTTTTTCTTGTTACAGTGAGCATACCTTATTTTTATAATTAAAATAAAATCTCATCTTTAAAATCTAAACAAAAAAGGGAAATATTTATAATATAAAACTTAGACTAGTATAGCATATATTTTATCCCCCCCCCATCCTCCCTGTAAGTTTCAAAATCTCTAGAATTTTTCATCTATAAGAAAAAAGCAGAGATGGAGAGGTAGTATTAGTTGCTGGTTATCAAATGAGCAAAAATAATGTCAACCGCAAAAGCAAAAGAACTTTCATCCCTGGATTTCCTTTAAGCTTCTCTCCCAAGAAGTTCAAGTTGTCTCACTGATAACATCACGTTTCTCTTACAGGATGTCAAGCACAGAAGTGTGACTTCAAAGGGAAAGAGACGACCAGAGGGGACTGGGCACCCAGGACACACATAGGAGGGGCACTGCTGCAAACTGAGCCCAGACAGGAACATTCAATGAACAAAGTAGGTTGTGGGGGACAGCGGCGTGAGGAGAAGGTCTCAAGGGCAAAGGGGACGATGGTTTTGTGTCTGGCGTGGTTGCTGAGCTGGTCCTCACACCTGTTAGCCACAGGGTCAGTGTGGGAGGGGTCAGGACCACAGGCCCTGCCCTCTGTCCTGTTCTGCAGCTGTTAAACGCCCAGGAAATTCCAGTGTAATCCTTGCTCAGCTTAATGCTGCAGCCTCTCCCTTTAATCTTCACCTTGGACATGGTCTCAGAAGCTCTCTCTTGGAGCTCTGGCCTCCTGCCTTGAAAAGGATCCCATTGGCCTTTACAGTGGCATCCAGAGCAGACAGTGAGGAGGTGGCTGTCCTGTGGCACGTTAGCCCCTCTGCCCTGGCTGGAGAAGGCAATGTGTGGATTACCTAGTAGAAGACAGCCCTGGGTCTCCTGAGGCCTCCAGTCCCTGAGAATGTACCCCTGAGTACACAGATGCTGTCAAATGTGCCTCCCTCCCACTGGAGAGCTGGGAGAGGCTCTTAAGATACAGGCAGTGTCTGGGTTTGGCCAGACAGCCACTTAGAATGAGCCACTCCGGCTGTGCACTGACTGGGGACATGCGTGGCTCTGGAAAAGAGCATAAGGGAGGGTGTTGGGGCAGTCGGTACACGTGCATGAAGGATGAGTAAGTGGAAGATTGTGGAAGGATGCCCATGAGCGCCAGGACCAGTGCCTGGGAGAGCAGGTGTGAGAGTGTGAGGGAGTGTATATGAGGTGCGATGGTGTGGAGCAGGACGGTGGGTCCTGGGAGGTGTGTGTGTGCAAACATGCACATCAATGCAGAACCCAAGTGGTCCTCCGACTCCCATGAGCCCTCACCCTGGGTCTTTCCCTACTCCACCCCTAGTCTGCCTGTTAACTGCTCTCTGCCCCCAGGAATTGCATCTGCAGAAACACCTGGGTTGAGAGGCGGAGATAAGCAGGGAAGTCAAGAAAGCCTGCCCAAAGCCCCCCAACGCCTTCCATCCCCCTCCCACCTAGTGAGGAGTGTTGTGTGGACACAGGGGCCAGGGCCTAGCTCAGAAGATGGTGATGCGCTGGGGGAGAGAGCAGCTGGCCCGGAGGAGGAATGGTCCTGCCTTTCCCATGCTCAGCCCATCACTGCCTGTTGTTCCCCAGCATCCTGGTGACAGCCGTCACTGCCAGCCATCTTCTTGCATCCTGAATGAACCAACAGACTTCAAAGGAGTCCTCCTCCCTAACCTTCCTGGGATGAAAAGGTCCATTGCCCTGTAGGAGCCCAGTGGCCCCTCTGAACAGTACTCAGCATGTCTCAGTCCTCCAGGGCCACATTACTTGGACAATTGCCCTGCAGTGCCCCCAATCCAATGGCCCCTTTCCCATTGAACGGGCATCTCTGCTTCCAGAGCCTGAGTCAAGTTCCCCTGGCGGTGGAGGACCTGGCCCAGGTTAACTGATTGGGAACAGGACCAGCCGCTTCTCTCCACGGGCACTGCCAGGGACATTACAACATCGGCTATGCTGGGCTCTCGCCAGCTCCCCCAGGGATGGGAGGAGAGAGGGTACCAGACAGCCAAGATTGGTGGGTGGGGGTGTGGGGCCGCCAGGGCCAAGCTCCCAGACGGAAAGAGAGGGGGCGGGGCTGGGGCAGTAGCAAACAGTAGACTTTGGTGCAACTTGGGGAGCACGAACCAAGCCTTCCCGCCACCCCCAGGCTTACCTGTGGTGGTGGGGGTGGGGAGCAGGAGGCCGTGGAAGCTGGGGGGCAGGTGTGGGATTAACGTCCTTGCTCCTCCCAGGTCCACCACACTTGGAGAGATGCCACTGGCGGGGTGGGCAACCCCCTTCAGAAGGCTGGGAGCCCGGCCTCGGCAGGGGACCCCTATAACAGGACACCCTGCATCAGAGCCCGAGGAGTGTCTCTGCAAACAGTGGGGATCCACGTAGCAAGGGTAATGGGGGTGTGAATGAGGCTGCTCAGCGGGGACGGCGGAGCCAGGTGGACCAGTTCCACACTCCTCATGAACCCCGCTCTCGCCCTGGGAGGGGTACTCGGCACTCCCCCCAAAAGGCCCCCCGAGGACCTGCAGAGGCCCTGTCTGGAGGGCCCCTCTACTTTTGCAAACCTTAATCCCTCTGTCCCCAGGCACACCGCCCCCCCCCTCCACCCCCGACTCTCCAACACCGCCGGCGACCCCCGGGCTCACCTGACCGTCGGCCGCAGGCTCGGCAG